CAGGCGCTGCAGCTGGGGAACGGTCATTCCTTGCTGCTGGTGTTTGTGTTCCTGGGGCTGCTGAGGCGCCCGGAGCCTGAGGTGAGGCGGGAAGGGCCGGGGAGGGACGCTCCCGGTGGCAGGGGACGGGGATCCTGCGGGTGTGCGCGTTGTCAGCAGCTTCCCCAGGGCTGTTCCCGCTCCTGCGGACCCGCCGGGCGCTGGGGGAGGCGCTGGGCACATCCATGTCATGGGCAGCCTGGCCCAGGGCTCTGGGACCCTCCGAGTCCAGAAGTTCCTCCCGATATTCCCGTGGGAGCCCCTTCTCTCTGGGATACGCCTGTGTCATCACTTCCACGGATGGCAAGGCAAAGCCAACCAGGCCGCCCCTGCCTCTTGCAGGGCTCTGAGGGGGTTTGTTCTGCTCCTGGCGTCCAGCAGCGGGGTTCTCAGTGTCAGATCGGTGCGAGGACACCCTGAAAAAGGCTTCTAGAGGGAAGAGCAGGCAGGTAGGTTCCAAGTTTAAACGAGAGGAACAGGAGTGTGTTTAAAGGTGAGAGCGTTTCCAGCTGGATGGGGCTGTTCCTCTAGGAAATGAACAGGAAAGGTCTCAGCGTTGGGGCTGTGTGTTTGCAGCCTGCCATTGCCATGGCAAGGAAATACTGTGTTGTCCTGCTCCAGGGAGGTGTTCTTTTTATTTTCGAAGGGAAGGGACGTTTGGTACTCAGGCTCAAGGGCACAGGATGCCTTCATTTAAAGCCAAAAAGTTTGTTTCCCAGCACAAAGTGTGCCCAGGTGGCCAAGGAAGCCAGTGGCATCCTGGCTTGTGTTAGAAATAGTGTGACCAGCAGGAGCAGAGAGGGGATTGTCCCCCTGTGCCCAGCAGTGGGGAGGCCACACCTGGAGTGTTGTGTCCAGTTTTGGGCTCCTCAACTCAAGAGAGATCTCGAGGTGCTGGAGCAAGGACAGAGGAGGGCAATGAAGCTGGGGAAGGGCCTGGATAATCAATCTGATGAAGAACACTTGAAGGAGCTGGGGATGTTTAGTTTGAGGAAGAGGAGGCTGAGGGGAGAGCTCATCAGTCTCTTCAACTACCTGAAAGGTCACTGTAGAGAGGTTGGTGCTGGTCTCTTCTCACTGGTAATTAGTGACAGAACAAGAGGGAAGGGCTTCAAGCTGCACCAGGGCAGGTTTAGACTGGACATGAAGAACAATTTCTTCACAGAAAGAGTGGTCAGACCCTGGAACAGGCTGCCCAGGGAGGTGGTGGAGTCACCACCCCTGGATGTGTTGAGGGGTCGTTTGGCTGTGGTGTTGGTGGAGATGGTTTAGGGGAGAACTTTGCAGAGCAGGGATGATGGTTGGACTGGGTGATCCCAAGGGGCTTTTCCAACCTAATAGTTCTGTGATTCTATGATAAATAGTCATGTTCCAAATCTCTTTCAGGTGGCCTACCAACATCTCTGAGATGTCCATGGATGTAACTTTCCTGGGCACAGGCTCAGCCTATCCCTCTCCAACAAGAGGAGCTTCGGCCCTCGTGCTGCGCAGGGAAGGAGAGTGCTGGCTCTTTGACTGTGGAGAGGGAACCCAGACCCAGCTCATGAAGAGCCATCTCAGAGCAGGTTTGTGCTGCTGGAGGGTGTGGGGAGGGAAGGGGAAGAGTTCCATGGGATCTAAAACCAAACACCTTGTCCTCGTGCTTGGGGTGTTTGCATGCACACTAAAGATGCATGAGCATCTGAAGGTGTGTGTGTATAGGTGGCAGTTGCTGAGCCTGTTGTGCAGTGATCCTTGGTTGCCCTTTGGTAAAGAATGGCAGTAAGAACCAAGGCCTGAGGTAATTTATTGGGATTTGTAGTTTCAAATGTGGACCACAGAGCAGCTTTAAACTGGAACAGTTTTATTTGAAGAAAGCTTGAGGCAATACCTGCTGCGAGTCCTCCTGCCAATAAATACTGGGCTTTTGTTTTCCAGTGAAGTTGTGTGTATTGGTGGTAATATTTTGGCAAAACAAAGGAGAGAACAGATTTACCTTCAGTCAGTGTGCTTTTGCAGCCTGCAGTGGCAAGAGCAGACTGCTGGCTCTCAGGTTACAAAGATGGAATGATCAATTATACACAGAAAACCAAGTTCCTGCTCCTAACCTCCCACCAGCCCAGGCTGCTCCAAGCCCCATCCAACCTGCCCTTCAACACTGCCAGGGATGGGGCAGCCACAGCTTCCCTGGGCAACCTGGGCCAGGGTCTCACCACCCTCACAGGGATCTACTGGAGACATCTACAGTGGAGGCTACAAAGATGATGAAGGGACTGGAACATCTGTCTGATGAGGAAAGGCTGAGAGACCTGGGGCTGTTTAGTGAGGAGAAGAGAAGGCTGAGAGGGGACCTGATGAATGTCTCTCAATACCTGCAGGGTGGGTGTCAGGAATGGGCCAGTCTCTGTTCAGTGGTGCCTGGGACAGGATGAGGGGAAATGGCCCCAAGTGACAACACAGGAAGTTCCAGCTCAAGATGAGGAGCAACTTCTTTGCTGTGAGGGTGACAGAGCCCTGGGCCAGGCTGCCCAGAGAGGCTGTGGAGTCTCCTTCTCTGGAGACTTTCCAGCCCCATCTGGACACGTTTCTGTGTGACCTGCCCTGGGTGTTCCTGCTGCAGCAGGGGGGTTGGACTTGATGATCTCCAGAGGTCCCTCCCAACCCCTGTGATTCTATGAACTCAGATGTGGAAAAAAAGCCCAGATATTTAAATTCATTTTTTTCATCCATTCAGAACAAACCAGTTAGGAACTCTGGAGTTCATACCTTTTAAAAAGCTTTGAAATCAAAACTGGATACTTAAAAAAATTATGTTCATTTAATGTGCTAGATTGAAACCTTGGAACAACACCAATTCCTCTTGGTTTCTCCTTAGCCTGCAGTTTCCATGTCATGTATGGAAACACAACCACTGTCCAGGACTTCTTTGCTATTGAACAAGGCTGATGTCACCAGTCAGTTCTGTTCCGACCTTGCAGCACATTTTTTGCTTAGAAGCAGCTAAAACTTAAGTCTCCTCTGGCTTTTCTTGACAAATCAAGCCAAAATAAACCTTCTGTGGAAACTTACCACTACTGTGGAAATAAAAAAATACCTTGTGGCTTGGGATTTATTTCTTAAACATGGGTTTATTTGAATATCCCTCCTTATTTCCTACTTCTTGCCCAAAAGTGATGATTTCTGAGTTGTTTGGGTGTTCTGGCTTGTTTCTCTTTTCCTGTTGTTCTCATCAACAGGCAGAATTACCAAGATTTTCATCACTCATCTGCACGGGGACCACTTTTTTGGCCTGCCTGGCCTGCTGTGTACACTGAGCCTCCAAAGCAACCCTGACCCAAACAAACCACCAGTTGATATTTATGGACCTTTAGGACTGAGGGACTTCATCTGGAGGAGCATGGAGCTCTCCCACTCACAGCTTCTCTTTTTTGTTCATGAGCTGGTACCTACACAGGACCAGTGCCCTGAGGAGGAATTTAAAGACTTTTCCTACCTGGACAGAGATGAGGGATTTCCCAAGGGAACACAAGGGAGAATCCTCCACCTGGATCCAGTAGAAAGCTCTTACCTGCTGGTTGAGGATGAGCAGCTGGTTGTGAAAGCTTTTCGCCTGTTTCACCGTGTCCCTTCCTTTGGATTTGTGGTGGAGGAGAAACCCAGGCCTGGGAAACTCAACGTAGAGAAACTGAAAGACCTTGGTAACTAATTTGATTTATTTTTCTGCTTTTTTATTAATTTAAATCAGAATCACAGACTGGTTTGGGTTGGAAGGGACCTTAAAGATCAGCCAGTCCCAACCTGCCATGGGCAGGGACACCTCCCACCAGCCCAGGTTGCTCCAAGCCCCATCCAACCTGCCCTTCAACACTGCCAGGGATGGGGCAGCCACAGCTTCTCTGGGCAACCTGGGCCAGTGATTTCCTACCCTCATGGTGAAGAATTTCCTCCTCATGTCTCACCTAAATCTTCCTCTTCCAGTTTTAATCCATCCCCCTCATCCCATCCCTCCCTGCCCTTGTCCCAAGTCCCTCCCCAGCTTTCCTGGAGCCCCTTCAGGCACTGGAAGGTGCTCTAAGGTCTCCCTGGAGCCTTTTCTCCTCCAGGCTGAACACCCCACCGCTCCCAGCCTGGCTCCAGAGCAAAGCTGCTCCAGCCCTCTTAGCATCTCCATGACCCTCCTAAATTCATGTGGTGAAGCTGAGGAATGACTCCAATTTTCAGCCAACGTGACCAAGCTGGGTTCACACACAGCTGAAATCTGTTAATGACCAGCTCTTGGGGGCTTCTAGCAAATTAGTGCTGCTGGATCTCTCCATGATCCATTCTAATCCAGTTCTCCATTTCCCATTAAGGCCGTTTGAATCCTTCATCCTAAGGCAGTGATCTGAATTGGTGTGGAACACTAATGCCCATGAGGACCTCAGACCATTCTCATACCAGGAAGAGCAAACAAGTTCAGGTTCTGAAGTTGAAAAAGCATAATGTGGCTCTCAGGGAAGTGTAGGGCCCAGTGTATTTGCATGACTTTCTTGAGTTGAATATAAAGAAGATAGCTTTTCTTCAAACACACTTCCTGCTAATGTTGCAAGCTCTTTATTTGTATGAAGTGTGTGAAACAGCAATTGCTTTTTATATTGAGGGTGGAACTTCTCAGTGAGACAGCTCTAGAGATAGTTGATCACTTCTGAAGTGATGTTTTTACTTTAAACCTGACACTCATCATCATACTTAGGGGTTCTTCTGCTTTTCTTTACCAGGAGTTCAACCAGGTCCTTTATATGGGAAACTGAAGAATGGAACTGCAGTTGTTCTAGAAAATGGAGTCACCATTTCTCCTTCTGATGTCTTGGAAGACCCTATTCCTGGAAGGAAAATCTGCATCTTGGGGGATTGTTCAGGGGTGGTTGGAGATGCAGCCATCAAGCTTTGCTGGGAAGCAGATGTGCTGGTACACGAAGCCACGTTGGATGATACCCAAGAGGAAAAGGCCAGAGAACATGGTCACAGCACTCCCAAAATGGCATCAGAGTTTGCAAAGTTGTGTCAAGCTCAGAAACTGGTTTTGAATCACTTCAGTCAGAGGTATAAACCAGCTGCTCAGGGGGGTGAGGGAGATGTGGACATCAGCCAGCTGAAGAGACAGGCAGAGGCAGTGTTAGGAGGTCAAGAGGTGACACTAGCTGAGGATTTGATGACACTAGACATTCCAATGAAAAAGGAGAAGCAGCAGTGAAGTGCTGTGTGAAGACATCAAGGAGGAGAGGGTTGGTCAGCATGTAAAAATCATGGTAGGGTTGCTGGTGTCCACATCAGTTCCCTTGTGTGGCACACAGAGAGCTGTTGCCAAGTGCAAGAAGTACCAGGTGGAGTTAGCATTGCTCTTAGAAAGCAAGAAAAAAGGATACTCAGCCATCTGAAACTTGGAAGAAATTCCTGAGGGATTGTTTTGGACACTCAGCCTCCCCAGCAACCAACTGCACAAACTCTTCACAGCCCAGGGTTTTCCTGGAACCACAGATTCCTGGAGGAGATCACTGGATCCTTTGGCTTAGTGCAGTCTTCTGGAGAAGGTTTGTGTTGTGCACCAGGATTTAAGGTCTCTTGCCTGTTACAAGCTTTTGAAGAGCACCTATTTGAAACTTGTGTCCAGAGTTTTGTGACTGTTACCTCAGTTCTGTCCAAGAGGACATGACACTGAAACTAATAAAGTTATTTATAGCTCTGGCAAGTGTTTGTGACTGGGGGTGTTGCTGTGTTCAAGTTGAGGAGCTCTTCTTATTCTCCTTTTGGGTATCAAGTTTTCTCATAAATAAATAGAGTTGAGGCTTCCTGTGAAAACTGAATCCCTCTTAACAACTGGATTCATTTAAAGCTCTCAGGTGTGAACCCTGAATTTGCACACCTGTTCCCTGCATCAGGAGGGTTAGGAAAGTATCTCTGGAAGTCTTGAGGCAGATGACAAGTAGTCTTTTCCTCAAGTGTTCCTCCAAGTGCCTTTTCAAAGACAAATCATCCTGAGAAAAGCCTAATTGTGGTTGTAGAAATACCCCTCTGGGGGGAATGACACTGGTTTTTAGCTCAGTCTTTCTGCAGTGACTTCATTCTTTCAGTGAAGGGACATGGAGACCAACTTTGCAGACTCTGTTGTGACTGGTGCACTACTCAGTGTGGAGAGTGGTGATCCTCACCCAAGCTGCTGAGGTGAGGAGGTTAAAATCCTGCAGATTAATTTTCCTGTGCTCTCCCTGTTTGTTTCACTAACAGTGTACTTGGCTGTAATGAGACACAGAGAAAGGAGTGTGATTTCTTGCTGTCTTAACTGAACTAATCAAACTGGATATTTTATTCAAACAGTCTTACCTGCTCTTACAGCAGCTCCAACCTGAGTGACACCAGTGTTACTATTTCATGCTTCAAATATGCTTCAAAGGTAGAAGAAGAGTCATTTCTTTACCCAAAAAAAAGCATAGGGAAGAGTTGTAAACTTGAAGTATGTGACTTCTGGAGCTAAAACTCACTCTGACTTCTCTTGAAAAATGGGTGTGAAGTGGGCAGAGACTGCAGATCACACAGTGGCAGGTGATTTTCCTGCCATTCATGGTGGGTTTTATTCTTTTGTAAAAGAAAAATGGGTGGTAGGAGCAGTGATATCACACTCTGCTTGATAGAATCAGAGGTTGGGCAGCTCTTCCTGCTGCTTCATAAGGAAGTTCACTGAAGGAAACCAAAAAAATAAGCTGTAAGAAGAAAATTGGTTTCATCCTGGCTTAAACCAGGACAACTCCAGGCACTTTGTTGTCTGACCTGCTCTGCTGTGGCTGCTCCCACACTGGAACAACCCAAAATTCCTCTGTTCACAGTGATGAGCTGAAGTTTTGGGACCAACTTCAAGGCTTGGTGGAAGTTTTCACTTGGATACCAGCTGCAAGTGACAAAACCAAAGGATGGAAAGAAGAACAAGGGACAATCCAAAAGCTTTTCCAAGCTTTTGGAATGTGTGGGCCCACCTCTGCAGCTCAGCTCCCCACCAGGCTGGATCCTGCTGCTCCAGGCCTGGGTAAATCCATGTTTGCATTTGTGTGGTTAGTTAATTGCTGTGAATTCAGGAATATCTTCAGTTCCTATTCAAATGATGAGGGTGTGGATAGATGGTGGGATGAGTCGATGGCACAGGCTCCCAGCCTGGAGGGAGCCTGGGCCACCTCATCTAAACTCTGCTTCTGTCTAGATAGGTTTGACCTGATGATCCTTCAGGTCCCTTCCAACCTGGCATTCTAGGATTGTGGGGTAGGATGTGTTGGGCCTGCAGACTAAGATTGGGTTTGGTTTTGACAGAAAAGGATTAGAAGGTGGCTCATAGATCCCAGCCTGCCCTCTCTTTCCTGTCCTAATGAATTCAGTGGAGAAGAGAAGGCTCCAGGGAGACCTTAGAGCACATTCCAGTGCCTGAAGGGGCTCCAGGAAAGCTGGGGAGGGACTTGGGACAAGGGCAGGGAGGGATGGGATGAGGGGGAATGGATCAAAACTGGAAGACGGGAGATATAGATGAGATATGAGGAAGAAATTCTTTGGTGTGAGGGTGGTGAGAGCCTGGCCCAGGTTGCCCAGAGAAGCTGTGGCTGCCCCATCCCTGGCAGTGTTGAAGGGCAGGTTGGATGGGGCTTGGAGCAACCTGGGCTGGTGGGAGGTGTCCCTGCCCATGCACGGGTTTGGAACTAGATGATCTTGAAGGTCCCTTCCAACTCAGACCATTTGATCATGATGCCCTTTGGTCCTGGTGTCCCCATGCTCCAGATCAATGAGCTGGTCCAGTGCTTGCCTGGGTAAAAAACCCACAGCTTCATGCTACCCTGCAAGAAAACAACCTCTGGGCTAATTTTTGGCTGTGTTACCAAGTCAATTAGTGAGTTATCTTGCTGCACAACAAGGGTTGAACAAAGGAAGGTGCAGAAGTGCTCAGCCAGAAATGAGGAGCTGCTTGGGACCCCCCTTGTTAGCAGGAGGAAGCTGATACTGAGGGTCAGTCCTACGACCTCAATGTGTTTCAGGATCTAAGCCCAGTATTAGGTCTTGGGGACTTGGGTGCACAGAGCTGTTGTGTTGGTAGAGTTTTTTAATGGCAATCTTTCCATTAACCATTTGGTAATTAGCACAGAACAAAATTCCTCTGCATTAAAGTCTCTTTGCCTGAGAGTGTTTGGTTTGCCAGCAGGTGAAGGTCTCTGGTCTGGTCCTGGAGGGGGTTTTAATGAGTTCTGGGCATGTAAATGAAGTTGTAGGGTTGTTTTTTTTAGCTTTGAATAACTTACTCTAAAAATTCTTCTGCTTTCCTGGAAGAGTTCCTCTAAGTTTGGTTCCTTTTTTTTAGCAGATGGACTTGATAAACTTGTGAAAGAAGCTTTTTATGTTCCAGGAAGGAGGAGGAGGAGGGAGGGAATAAGGTGCAAAGAGTTTTGTAACAGCAGAGACATTCCTGCCTTTTAGGTGCAGCTGCTCAGGGGATGGATGAGTGGTGCTCAGGGGGAGGGAGGTTGAGAAAGAAGTTCCCCACAGCACAAAAATGATGTGTTGCTCCAAGTGTGGTGCAAGTCTGGGAGGAGGATGGAGAGCTGGAGATGGAGTCTGGGCTGTAAATCCAGTTGGGAAAGGGATCCTTGATGCTAGAGATGGTTGAGCTGTTGGTCTCAACCACTCACAGGCTCCATTTGGGAGCATTTTTCTGTTGTTTTCAAACTGACTTGGAAAATCATTTGCTCCTACTGAATTATGCTCATTTCTAAGGAAAAGGATATGAATTATTTACCTCAGATGGCTTCATTCTAGAAATCAGAATTCTGGCAAGGTCGTAGGACCGGTCCAGGTCTCCCTGAAATCAGTGGTTTGGCACATAGTCACTAGAACAACTTCATGTCTTTTTTATTCATAATAAAAACACATTGATTGGGATCTTGAGGTAGAACGAGTGGCAGGAATGTGATCAGATGAACATTTTGGGGAGGGGAGCTGTTTGGGTTTGGAGGCAGCAGCTCAGCATCTTCCCTGGTGGTCACTAGTGTCCTCAACACGTGTCCTCAAGAGCCACCATGCACAGAGGCTGGTGGGCACTGTGCTAAGCTGGGGACATGCAAGGCTGGTGGTGGCACCAGCTCAATGGCTTGTGCACCCCCAAATTGGACATGTCACCATCTGGTTGAGCAGGATGTGGCAGTGATTGCTTTAACAACCTCCAGCCAGCCAGATGTATGAACACTGAGAGTTACCATGACACGTACAATACTCTTAAGATACCTCATGGCTTGGACAAGTCAACTCTTCTCTGGGTAAAAAAACTGGCTGGATGGGGCCAGGGAGTTGTGATGAATGGAGATCAGTCCAGCTGGTGGGTGGTCACCTGTGGTGTCTCTCAGGGCTCAGTGTTGGGGCCAGTTCTGGTTATCAACGGTCTGGTGAGGGGACTGAGTGCTCCTTCAATCAGTTTTGCAGATGACAGCAAGTTGGGCAGGAGTTTTGATCTGCCTGGGGGTGGGAGGCTCTGCAGAGGGACCTGGACAGGCTGGAGGGATGGGCTGAGGACAATTGTGTGAGGTTCTCCAAGGCCAAGTGCTGGGTCCTGCCCTTGGGTCACACCAACCCCAGGCAACGCTCCAGGCTTGGGGAAGAGAGGCTGGAAAGTGCCCAGAGGAAAAGGACCTGGGGTGTTGGTTG